CCAGCAAGCACACATGTTGGGTATTTACAGATCGTGATCACTGATGTTTAGGCAAGAGATGGAGAAAAGTGAAACTGGAAGTTTAGTCTTAGTTTCAAGAGTCATTGAGGAAGACTCCCCTGAGGAGGGTGTTTGAGCTGAAACTGAATAAGGAAAATAAATTGGCTTTTCAGGAGCTGAAGGAAGATCCAGAATAGGAAGAGAAATTTGAAAACCAAGTCTTACATTCAGCTTTGCCGGAGCTACCAGTGTAATTTTTTCGATTAACTGAATTTCCAAATATCTGATATTTCGTAAGACAAACTGTAAGGAAAAAATGTTGCCTGCCATCCCAGTTCTACAAGGATCAAGCCATTGGCCAGTGCGGTCACGCACTGACTTATATAAAATTCGAACACGCATCTGATCAAGCCTCTCAACCAGGAGGTGGGAAACTTTTTCTGAGCAGCCCAATAATAACTATTTTAGGCTTGTGGGCCACATGTTTGCCACTGACACAACTCAACTCTGCCACTGTAACTCAAAAACAACCACAGGGCTTCCCTGGTGGCGCAGTGGTTGGGAGTCTGCCTGCCGATGCAGGGGACACGGGTTCGTGCCCTGGTCCGGGAAGATCCCACATGCCGCGGAGCGGCTGGGCTCGTGAGCCATGGCCGCTGAACCTGCGCATCTGGAGCCTGTGCAAACAACCACAGACAATATGGACACAAATGGACACCACTGTGTTCCAATAAAACTTTATTTATGTAAACGGGGCTGGCCCACAGGCCATAGTTTGCCAATCCCTGCTGTAGAATCCAGATTTAACTTCCAATTTACAAGAAATATAGAGAACAGAGGAATACATTTAATGACACCACAGGGATTCAATCAGCAAAACTCCGATTGTTTTGAAGGAAACACATTCTGTACTGTGGGGAAACTTCAGGACAAAGTACCTAGTTTCTTCAACAAAAAAGCAGCAAGAGATAAAAAGAATTGGAAAAGAAACTCAACATTATATGAGACATAAAATTCATATCAAGCAATCAAAATATTTGGGTTTTAATAAAAGACTAACAAACAGTGAAAAAATAAGACAGTTATGGAAACGAATAATGACATTAAGAGAGTATTACTTCTTTCGGGTATGATAATGGTGCCTTGTGGTTATGTTTTCAAAACGATTTACATCGTTAGGGATACATATTAAAAAACAGATGGAATGATATGATGTCTGTGATTTGCTTCAAAATAATCTGGGGTGAAGCGAGGGTGTGGCTACAGATAAAATTAGATTGACTGAGTTGGCTGTTACTGAGCTTGGGTAATGGCTGCATGGGGGCTCTTTGTACTGTTCTACTTTTGCATATCTCTGAACTTTTCCATAATTAAAAGTTAAAACAAACATAAAACATACTTCAGATTCAGTGGCAGAGATGACAAATGTAGGCATGGATGAAGAAAAACAGGTTTAGTTTGATGAACAGGAGTCCTTTGGAACAATTAAGAGCAGTTAGGTTGATGGGATTTAACCTTGTTTGTCCCTTAGAATTAAAGAGAAGTTGGAGTGAATCAGATCCACCCTGCCTCTCTGAGTAACTCATCACCTCCCAACCCTCTCTCAGAGGGAAGGAGGACCAAGGGAGCCAGGACCTGGGGCTGAGGACACTGCTAAATGCATACTAAATATGTGTACGCCCTTCCTTGTAGCAGAGTCTTGATTTCTTCAGAGATGCCAGGGCGCATTTAAAAATATTCGGCCCTTCAGACCCTCTGGCAGCTAGAGTTGGCCAGGTGAGCTAATTTTGGCCACTGAAATATAATAGAAGCCTAATGGTCAGGGCTCCCAGAAAATATATTATTTTCTGCATTAGAAGAGACAAATTCAGCAGGTGTATTCATTCTAGCTTATTCTTGCGGAGGTGTAATTATAGTGCCTGAAGCAGTAGTACCAATCTTGTAACCATAAAGATAAAAGTGAAATATTGTGATGGGAGGGGTGGGGGCCACGGGGGTGGGGAGAGAGCAAGAGAGAGATGGAGGGCGAGGGAGGAAGGGAGCGAGAGAGGGAGAGAATGGATTTGCATGAACGAACCTGGTCATCATGAAGCAGGGACTCAGTGCCCCAGGCCTGATTATCTTGCCCGGATTTTGTTACATGAGAAAAATAAACTCCTACGTGGTCAATCCACTATGATAAGGCTTCTGTTACATGTGGCCAAGCACAGTGAGTTACTGATAACAAGTTACCTAGAACCCCAGATATCCAAAACTAAACTCCTGACCTCCTCTAATCTGTCTTCTCATAGACTTTCACAGCTCCTTACGTGGCAACACACTCACCTTTTTTTTTGCGATACGCAGGCCTCTCACTGTTGTGGCCTCTCCCGTTGCGGAGCACAGGCTCTGAACGCGCAGGCTCAGCGGCCATGGCTCATGGGCCTAGCCACTCTGTGGCATGTGGGATCTTCCTGGACCGGGGCACGAACCCGCGTCCCCTGCATTGGCAGGAGGACTCTCAAACACTGCGCCACCAGGGAAGCCCCAACACTCACCTTTAAGGCATTCGACCACCAAAATGCTTGACTCCTCTTCCCCCCCCCTCACTCCACATTCAGTCCATCAGCCAAGCCCGAAGGCAGGAAGGAGGAAGGAGCGGAGCTCTGTGTCTCTCTCAGGCTGTGTCTCTGGCCATCACTGTGTCTTCTCTTAGGCTCCAGGTCCCATCAGACAGCCCCCGCATCTGGGGTCCCGGCTCCTGCTGGACAGGCCTCCACCAGGTGGCTGCAGCCCCTGGGCTGCTGGACCACCACTGCCTCTGCCAGTCCTGCTGCTGCTCATCTCCTGGCTACCTCGCTGCCTCCTGTGCAGCTTTCAGCTATGTGTCGCCTGCTTAGTCAGCTACCCATATTAAATCCCTTCTGTTTGAAACACCAGTTAATGCTGACCAGGCCTGACTGATAAGCCTTCCCTGATGACCCCTAACTAAAACATTCTCCACTCCCCTCGCTGTCACTTTATCACTTATCCTGCTTTACTTTCCTTGTAGTTCTTATCAATACCTGCTAGAGTATGTATCTATTTGTTTCCTTAGTTGCCTAATTTTCCACTGGAATATAAGTGTCAAGACAGCAAGGGTCTTCTGCATGGGGCCTGGCACATGGTATGTGCCTCACACAAACAAATGCTTTTCCATTCCTTTAAGAGATATTGACACACACTCTCCAAGTCTCAGGCACTAGACAGATTGATGAATAAGCCAAGTTTTAGACTGTCGCTTTGGCCACAGGTGGGAGTGGCAGTGAGAACCCAGCCGCTCTTGGGCTTCAGTGCATTTTAATTGTCCTATTTTCTGTTTGTAGTGGTTCTGAAAAGCAGTGGAAAATCAGGTGTATTTGGAAGCTCACCGAAGAGGGGGCTCAAATCTATTGTGAACATACATCAGACTCCCTATAGGGAGACACCACTCACCTGACCTGGAGAGGGATCTTGGGCACCTTCGTAGAGACCTTGAACCGGCTTCTGTCCCCACAGGTATCAGTGAAGTACACACCAGCCACACTGGTCACCTGGTTCCCTGGGAACTTGGACAGCACCTTGTCACGACCATGCTGACTGGCCCAATACCAGGCTTGGCCCCCCATGAGCAGGCCCCCTCCACGTTTCACAAACTGGATCAGCTCTGCAGTCATGGTGTCATTGTAGGCATTGATGCAATAAACCCCCAGGGGTTCTCTCGGTTCTGGCTGAATCTGTGCCTCAACCCCAGAGCCCTGCAGGATGTTTGCTAGTGATGCCAGGGATGGGTGCACTCCAACGGGAGCCCCAGGAGAGGGACAGAGCCAGCCCACTGCATTGAGAAGAAATGGGGCCAAGCCGGCGTCCAGCAGGTAGCCCTCATGGGACACAACCACAAGGCGGCCTCGGCCATAGGAGGACGCAGCAATGAGGACCTGGCCCTGATCATTCACCATCACCGGGAAGGCAGCCTCTCCAGTTAGAAGGAGTTCGCTGGGGATGGGGCCTTTAGGGACATCCCAGCTTGTCACTCCATCCATGAGGGCCTCAAAGGCAGCAGCAGGAGTTGTCGCCATGGTTCAGTCAGCTGCAGGAGAAGAAAGCAAAGACTGAGCTTGGTCAGAACAAATGAAGGAATGAGTGAAAACAAAAACAACTGAATGCATTCAGATGAAAACTACTTGTCAGGTCCCCCACTGTGTGCCACGGCCTGGGGGTGCAGCAAGGAACACAACAGACAAGGTCCCTGCTTTCACGAATCTAATATTTGAGAAGGGGAAGGACAATAATTAGATAGGTAGATAAACAGATAAAATGCAGCAATGAATAAGTGTTAGATGAAAATAAAACATAGTGATGTCATATCGAGCAACCGGAAAAATTACTTTAGATTGGGTGACAGGAAAGGCCTACAGGAAAAAGTGACCTTGAAGCTGAAACCTGACATTTAAGTTGAGGCCTGAAATGCTGCAGGAGAGCATTTTAGCAGTGAGAAGCCCCAGGGTGGCTGGAGGAACACACAGGGAGGAGCAGGACCTGAATGGAGTGAGGGCGGGGCTGGATCCCACGGAGCAGGTAGATCGAGGTGAGACCTGAGCTGACTTAGCATTTTCCTCTTTGGAAGAAAAGGTCAGTTGACCTTTCAGAAACTAAATTTCTTCTGGTAGCTTTGACCAAATGAATTGGAAACGCCTCCCAATTTATCATATCTGCCCTAAGTAGGGAGCTCCCCGCCTCTACTTGGGGAGCATCCTGAGGTTTACCAGGTCTTTTAAATTTTGGTGTGCCTAGAACTGAGTTAATTATTCCCTTCAGAGCAGTTCGTCTTCGATAAATTACTTACACTTTAGTCTCTCCATTTACATAAGGAGAATAGTACAGCCTTTGGAGCATTGTTTTTGAAGATGAAGAGAATGCGAATAAAAACGCCTTGTCCAGTGTCAGGTGTACAATGAGCACTGAGAAAACACTAGTGTCTGTCCCTCTGCTGTCTTTTCTAGCTTCCTAAGTGACAAGAGCCATGTAGTAGGTGCTCTGGGGGCCCCGGACCGCCTGTGACTCCAGCAACTGCCCTGGAGGACTTTCCTGGGCACTGGGAAACCTTTCTCACCTGGCAGGTGCCCTGAAGTGGCGGTGAGCTGATACACGGTAAGCTTCACCCGGGGGAGGGCGTCACGGATAAATGCCACAGGGCTGTCCTAGGTGCATTCTGGAGCCCCTCACAAGGTCACCCAAGGAACTGAGTTCCAGCTGCCCACAGCGGTAAACAGCTCAGCGACAGCCCTTCCTTGCTGGCTTCGCCTCCTTCCTGGTCTCTTCCTCCCCATGTCTTCACTGTGCAGTACTGGGCTCCCTTCCCAGATACACTACCTGCACTCAGGTCCTTCTATCAGGTTTTGCTTTGGGGAACAATCTAAACTGACAGACACCAAACCCTTCCCTTCCACTACATCTGCCTCTGTCCTTCCTCCCTCCTGCTTCCGTACACCATCAGCCACCTCATTTTGTTCATCTTCTTTCACGTATCTCTCAAATATCAGTCCCTTCAGTTTACATTCATATCTAGATGAAGCCAATCTGGTTTCTGTCCCCAGGATACATTCCCACCAACAATCTCCCTCAAGCCATCCTACTCACACGTCTTCCTAATCAGATCCCTCAGGTTCATCCACTCCCCCAGGTAAAAACTGAGTGGCTCACCCTGGATTTTAGGCCTCCAGGGTACGGGCTCTCCACAGTTTCTTAGACTTCTTCCCTTCACTTTCTCCACCAAATCTCTGGTACGCTTGGCTCCCTGAGCATGCCCTGTATTCCTTGTAAAGTTCCAGCTCCTTTTTTTTTTTTTTTTTTGGTTTTAAAACTGCCGTTCCCATCTACCACCTCTTAATATTGCCCCCAGTAAAGTGAATTCACAAAAAAGCACCAGTTCCCAGCTGGAGTATGGAGCCCGTGGGTGAGTGAGCTCAGCTTGCGGGTTTGGGGTAGGAAAAGGCAGCGAGAGATCAGGAAGCCTGAGGTCGAGCCAACCACCTCTGACAGGACAAGGGAGGTCTTTCACGAATCCGGGCCTCCCTAGTTTTACAGGAAAAGCACCAAAAAACCCAGGAGATGAGTAATATGTTCTCAGAACTTTGACCACATCTCTCCATAACTACATGCCCGGGCGCGCGCACCCAGAATCACACCCACACACAATCACACATCTTTTGTCAAATTCTTGACTCACAAATTCAAAGAGGCGAGAGAAAGGTGTCTTGAGACAAACAGCAAATAGGGAAAGAAGGGCGAAACGAAACAAGAACGTGAACCTAAGAAGACAGACACCCCGATTGCCGGGAACCTTCTCAGATCTGTAACTGACACCTTGGGGCGTACCCGTGTCCCCAGGTGCTCGGCCCCCGGCCCACCCTACGGACCCGCTCGGATCGGCAAACTCACGCTGGGGCGGCCGGGGTGCGCGGTGCAGGCCAGAGCGTGGAGGCCGGAGCCGAGGTTCGGCAGGCGGTCCCGGCGCGGCAGGAGCTGCGGGGCGGGGCGGGGCGAGGGGGCGGTGCCCGGGAGGCTCCTCCCCGCCGCGCCAGGGGCGGGGCCGGACTCCTGCGGGGTTCGCAGCCCGTCCCGCCCCCCCGGGAGGTGGGGCCTCTCGGCCCTCGGTTGTCCGGGCCGAAACCGGCTACCCCGGGCTCTCCGAGGGTCGCGTCGGAGCGAGAGGGAGCTCCGCAAAGTTGCTGTCACAGTTGGTGAGGAAAGCACACGCCAAGTCTCCAGTAAGGCAGACTCGGGGCGAAGAATCCCCCAACAGCACGTAACCCACGGCCGAGGCTCTGCTTGGGACCCGCGTGGAACTGGGTCCCCTCCCCTCCGGTCCGGGGGTGCGGCGCCGGAGAATCCAGGCTGTCGTGTCACCGCCTCAGGGCGGCTCCTGAGTTGAGGGGCTGCCCCCTGGTGGCCAGCGACCGGCCTTGCACCCCGTGCCGGGCGGGATTCTCGGCGGTCCACGGAGCTCCCCCAAGAGAACTGAGTCTAGGAGTGTAGGCAGAAATGCCGCCCAGTGATGTGCTTGCTAGGAAGGAAACGTGCTCGTTACAACACCAGACACGTCCATTCCAGCTAAAGCTATAGAGTGGCTGCTGCTTGGATTTCTACCTAAAACTGGTGGGAAGGTCAAAATCAAGGTTAAAGAGTTCTAAATTTGCCGCGAATCTGATTTTGCACAGCTTTGTGCAGCAGATGCGCTGTTTTAACTTTTATGGAGTTTTTGTTTTGTTTTGTTTTAGGGGGAGAGAGTAACAGGTAGGGGTGGGGACACCCGTGCGTACTTGAGAGCGATTATGGAGACGGGGGCTTTAGATCCCTATTTTATAATCCCCCCACCCCCGTTTGGGGCTAACACTGGTTATACATGTAAATCATCGCACTGTTCGTAAAGTTACCGGATGTATCTATTTTTCTTAAAGGTTCATGACTGTCTTTTTATAAGCATGAATTAAAAGTAGCAGTTAATCTTACATCCTCGTTGATTTTAACATGTTGTGGACACTTCACTCATATTCTCTTCTGTCTCGGGGCTTATCAAGGCCAGTGCCTTCACCAGATCTGAGCCCATTCTCTTTGTAAAATAGGTAGCACCTCCTCCAGGATCTTGCTGTCGAGTTCCCTTTTATGTATTTTCATTTTTAAAATCTTTTTGACTTCTTCCTGGGTAAAAATATACTTTGGTAAACTCCGTTTCTTGCCTATCTGTATAGAACATGTTATTTATTTCCTGCAGCTCACCCTCACCTTTGCCAAGAATGAAGTTCAAACCTTGCAATCCAGCTTCTGCTTCTTCCACTTCATTCCCTTCCCAAGTCCAGGCTCCACCCCTGCCTCCCCTTAAGTGTACACTGGGTAGTGTTGACTGACTTTTCATTTTCCCTCTTTGGTGTTAAACTAACATAATGCTAATTATTATTCTATTTTTCTTTGGATCTTTACGAAAATATACTTTCAGGATTTTAAAGCAGTTTTTTTTTTTGTTGTTTGAGAGTGGGGGCAATCAGGAATGAAGTGCTGATACTTATTTTAATATGTTGTGAAATGCTTTTTGTTACGGGCTGAATTGTGATTGAATTAAAATGAGGCCAGTGAGGTGGGACCCTAATCTAATAAGACTGGTGTCCCTGTGAGAAGAGGAAGAGACACTAGGGATGCCCTCACAGAGAGAACAAGCCATATGAGGACACAGTGAGAAGGAGACATCCCTAAGTCACTGAGAGAGGCCTCAGGGAAACTGACCCCTGCTGGCACCTAGATCTTGAACTTCCAGTCTCCAGAACATGAGAAAGTAAATTTCTGTTCTTTAAGCCAAAGACAACTCAAAATTACCTAATCAGTAAATTCTAACAGTAAGTTAGTGGTTAAATTAAGCTACATCATACAGTGGAACACTTTTCAACTGTTAAAAGGAATGAAGTAACTCTGCAGGTACTAGTATGGAAATGTTTAAAAGTTTAATGTTTAAAATGTGTTGGTTAGTGTGTATAATATTATCTTGTTTAATATAGAAAAAGATTTTATAGAGACACACAGCTTCTGTGTGTGTGTGTGTGTGTGTGTGTGTGTGAAGAACTTAATAACCATAGTTACCTCTGGTAAGTGATTCCAGGGTGTTTGGGAATGGAGAATACTTTTCATCTACTGTAGTTGTTTTTTAAAAATATATATTAATTATTTTATTTATTTATTTTTGGCTGTGTTGGGTCTTTGTTGCTGTGTGCGGGCTCTCTCTAGTTGTGGTGAGCAGGAGCTACTCCTCATTGCAGTGTGTGGGCTTCTCATTGCGTTGGCTTCTCTTATTGCAGAGCACAGGCTCTAGGCACACGGGCTTCAGTAGTTGTGGCATGCGGGCTCAGTAGTTGTGGCTCGCAGGGTCTACAGCGTAGGCTCAGTAGTTGTGGTGCACAGGCTTAGTTGCTCCGTGGCATGTGGGATCTTCCCGGACCAGGGCTCAAACCCGTGTCCCCTGCATTGGCAGGTGGATTCTTAACCACTGAGCTACCAGGGAAGTCCTTCTTTTTTTAAATATAACTTTTCTTTTTCTTTCTTTCTTTTTTCTTTTGGTTTTATTGAGTTATAATTGATGTACAGCACTATATAAGTTTAGGGTGTACAGCATAATGATCTGACTTACACACATAAGGAAATGATTATCACAATAAGTTTAGTGAACGTCCATCGTCTCATATAGATGCAAGGTGAAAGAAATAGAAAAAAGTTTTCTTTGTGATGAGAACAGTTAGGATTTACTCTCTGAACAGCTTTTGTATATCAGGTACTGCATGTAAATTATCTTTATCATGTTGTACCTTATATCTCTAGAACTTATTTGTCTTATAACTGGAAGTTTGTACCTTTTGACTGCCTTCCTCCAATTCACCCTCCTCCCACACCCAGCCTCTGGTAACCACAAATATAATCTCTTTTCCTAGGAGTTTGGTTTTGAAGTATCATTGAGCTACCACACTGTATTAGTTTTTTGTTACATAACACAGTGAGTTGATATTTCTGTACGTTTAAAAATGATCCCCTTGGTAAGTCTAGTTGTTGTCTACCACTGTACAAAGATACTACATAATTATTGACTATATTCCTCACACTGCACATTTCATACCTGTGACTGATTTAGTTTGTAACTAAAAGTTTGTACCTCTTAACCTCCCTCACCTCTTCACCACCACCACCACCCCCTCGACAACCGCCGCCTGTTTGTTCTCTGTGCCTATGACTCTGTTTCTGTTTAGTTTTTTTTTTTTTTTGGCGGCGTGTGGGCCTCTCACTGCTGTGGCCCCTCCTGTCGTGGAGCACAGGCTCCGGACGCGCAGGCTCAGCGGCCATGGCTCACGGGCCCAGCCGCTCCGCGGCATGTGGGATCTTCCCGGACCGGGGCACGAACCCGTGTCCCCTGCATCGGCAGGCAGACTCTCAACTACTGCGCCACCAGGGAAGCCCTCTGTTTAGTTTTGTGTGTTCATTTGTTTTGTTTTTTAGATTCCACATATAAGTGAAATCATAAAGTATTTGCCTTGTCTGATTTATTTCAGTTAGCATAATACCCTCTAGGTCCGTCCATGTTGTCGAAAGTGAGAAGATTTTATTCTTTTCTATGGTTGAGTAATACTCCATTGTGTGGGGCTG